CCAGCCTGCGTCGGCCGCGGAACCCCAGACCCCTTCTCCCGTTCTTAGAAGCACAAAACAGAGTGGCGGGGCCAGACGCGTAACGTTTGACCTCCTGGCGAAAAGAGTCTCCCACACGGCAGTGTGCAACCTGTTGGAATAAATGCTTAGCTTTCTTCTGCCGAGTTACGGTTTTAAGTTTTGAAAACATGGCGTGGTTTTGAAAGGTTGACAGTTTTTTCTTTTGAAATTCATCCTTTCACATTGATTAGGATTTCCTAACACGCATCAAACACATGGACCTACTCTCCCCGCCGCAGCGATGCCCTGGGGCACTCACCCGAGGGGGAAAGGCTCTTGATGAAATGGAGATGAAAAATGAACATACATAATTGCTATCTCGCTGCGGGGCGGAATGGTAACTGATTAAAAAAAGTTTGGTGATGTAGTAAGTAGAAAACCTGTTGCATACTCATCTAGGATTTGTAGAGAAAGTGTATTCGTATGCAAGTGTTTGCTGTAATGTGAAGTTGTCATCCAAGAACAATAGTAAATTTATGACAAGCAGAAATGGTCGTAAATGGGGATCATAATTAAGTGTCTAGAACCCAGACCTCAGTCCTAATTTAGGGTCTACATAGTTGTATGTATTTAGAGTTTTGGCCTTAATGTAAGTTGGTTCTTATTGAATATAGAACATCTAAAAAATGAATTACTGGTCTTCTCTGGCATCTTCATTATTATTACTGTTATTATTTGGACTGAAAGACTGCTACTCTTACCTGTAAGAGTAGTTGTCAACCAAAAAATAGTCAAGGAAAATTAAACCCAAGACTAAATGAAGCAGAATATCTAGTGGAAATATAGAAACTCTCAGACTTCATTTTAAATCTCTATTACTAAACACAAATATAGTCAGAAAAGGACTCGAGACAGTTTACATCGTATCTTTGTATCTGCTCATCTATATGATAATGTTTTTTTGTTTTGTTTTAATAAAGGTTAATTTTTTTTTCTCTTTTTTGGGCACCAGGGATTTAAATTAGGACCTTTCGCTTGCAAGGTAGGAGTGTGGTGCCACTGAGCTAAATCCCAGGCCCAAAGGTTAAAATTTTTGGAAGATCGCTTTGCAGTATCAGGAAATGATTTTTTTAATCTTTAAGTGCTTTTTTTATTTTGGTTTTTGAGACAGGGTCTAGTCATTAGGGTTGAACTCACTATCCTTCCTCAGCCTCCAAAGTTCAGGGGAACTTAGGGTTTCATGCTGGCTCTTTACCAGAGTCAGTGTTATTCTACAAACTCTAAAGACACTTTAGTGAATAGTTATCTTTTTAAATTATTCCGGTGTTCACGAAAGTGTGTTTCACAGAACATACCTTTACAAAATGTTAACAGATGCTCCATGAAAAAAATTGCTAACATCGTCAGTGCTCTGGATGACACTGAGAGGCTATGACAAATATATCTAATACCCTTCGTTCCAAATGTTTATAGTCTGAATGTCATCATCAGGAAACATTCCGACATTCAAAATATGATTTATTTAAACTTTTCAACAACAATATCATGAAATACAAAGAATGACAAGAGGACTGGTCTCTAAAGCAGCTATGACTTCTGGATAGGATTTAGAATTTTAAAAATTTGAGCATGGGAGCATAATATATTATTGACTTAAATTTCTCAAGAATGATACTGATGATAGAAGAATCCTTTTGTTTGAGGGGATGTACTTTCAAGTATTTAGGACTGAAGTCATGATGCCTGCAAATAATCTTTAAGATAATCCAGACTGCCCCCTCCAATGTGAAGAGAGAGAAAATAAGGCACTATTTTAACAATTGGTAGTTCAGCTGACTAGTAAATGAGTACTTTTTGTAAAACTTATGTAAGACTGAAATTTTTCAAAGTAAGTTTGGAGCAAATTGTATCCAGCAATTATAACTAACAAAACATCACTTAATGTTTACTTCTAAGAAAATCCAAATACATTTATATAGTTTTCTCATAATCTGACGTTAAGAAATGGTGTGCCATGTCTAAAAACTAGGAAGACACTTGAGAAATGACCTCATACAGACGGCGCAGTATCAAATCCATACACTAAGGCCTATTAACCAGACAAATCCTAAGGTAATTCTAGTGATCACTGCTCAGCACTATACATATTGCATTAGAAGTTTAACATTTTTAGTGAATTCTTATAATCTGTCAGCATGTTAACAATTTTTTAATGTTTATTCATTTCAACAAATGTTTATTGAATACATATGTCCCAACACTATACAGGTTCCAAGACCCCCTCAGGGTACCAAAGTCTGAGTGCACTCATATCCTTTATATAAGATGGCATATTTGCATATACTTACACATATCTTCCTATATACTTTATTCCCAATACAGGGCAAATACTATGTAAAAACTATATCCTTTAGGGAATAGTGACAAAAAAACAAGGGTACATTGGAAATAGAGGGCAACTATACTAGATTGTAGAGATAACATCTGTCACCAGTACAGATAAAGTCCCTGCCCACACAGAGCTTACATTCATTAAAAATAATGATTAGAAGTGCTATGTAAAATAATAAGCTAGAGCTTAAGGAGTAGAGAAGGTCAGGTAAGATTGGACATACACTGTTCTATACAGAGTGAACAAAGAAGGCCTGTAAGAAGGTGATATTTGAGCAACCACCTAAAGAAAGGGAGGGAGTTGGGACTGTCCAGGAAAGGACATACTGTAAGAAGAGGGGACAGCAAGTCCTGAGGTTCTGAGGTGAGAGCGGGTTACCACGTGTAAAGAACAGCAAAGAGACCAGACTGGATGTTCTAGGCAAGGAAGTATGCAGTAGGAGATGAGTTAGATTGAGTTACATTGAAATCTTAATTAGGGTAGGGAAGTCTCTTGAGTTTAATCCATCCCAGGACTAACACTTTCCATCTGGACCCATGAACATGGAAAATGAATTCTCTGCTTCCAAAATACAGGGGTAGAACAGTCAGAGAATGGCAGTTACAGCCATTTCTGGGCAAAAAGGGAGAAAGTGGAAAAGAGTTGCAATTTAAAATCCAATCTGGCAGTCTCCATTAATTATCAGGGCTTAGGCAAAATTCTCTGTGGTTCCTGGTTCTATGGGTTCATGCCCCACCCTCTGGACAATAGAATGAGCATGGGAGTCTTTGAGGGGCCATTATTCTACTTACCACTGCCATTATTTTCATTAAGTTTAGTACTATTTCATTACTAGTCATTTAATACTTCAAGTATTACTTCATGCAGTAGTTTTTGGGAAACAAGTTCGCATTAGTCTTGGTCAAGTGGCTCATTACCTCTTCTAACTTTTAAACAAATTTTTGATCAGTACTTTGTAAATCACTAAGTAGGAAATATAAATTTGCCATTTAATTTTTATTAGCTGGAAAAGAATGCTCTCTTTATACAGATCATATTTTCTTATTGGCACTTCATTTATTGTAACATTATTGATTTCTTCCAGACCTCAAAGTACCTGTAGTATGTTTAATTTAATGGGATAGGGAAAGTTTTATAGCTGCTAAGGTCATCATTCTTCACCTTTTAAGGACACTGGAAGCCCATTTCTGCCTCCCAGCAGGTGGCAGCAAATCAATACTCAGTAAGGTACAATAAAATCATAATTTTCTTATCCTGGTGTTTTGAATGTTGCAGACTGGCTTAGCAAAAAGAGCAAAAGAATACTGGTGCCAGATTGTAGGAATCATCATTTTTATCAACTTGATAAGAAAGTATATTTAATTAGTATAGCTTTATTGTGTAGTTACATTAAAATTATTCATTGCTTATCTCTCACAGAATTAAAAGACTGTATGCCATTTTGTTAGATTAACTATTCACATGTTAATACATTTTACATCTGTAGATAAACACATATTCTCCATAACCATTAATTGGCTAATGTCCATCAGTACATTTCAAAATTTAATCATTACGTACTACACTAATAAAAATTTTAAAAAGATGATCAGAAATATTTATGGAATATAGCTAACATTCTTACAGAGAAATTTAATAGCTTTTCATGCATTTATTTGAAAAGAATGAATTAGGTTGAGGTCAGCAAACTATGGTCCATAGGCCAAATCCAGTGTATATAGCTTGCTTTTGAACAGCCTACAAAACTAGCAAAAGTAACAAAAAAAGACATTGCCAGTTATCTGGAAGAGAAGAACAGTAAAGATTCTACAGACATTAAAAACCCTGTGGTTCTTAACCAGAGGTGTTTTGCCATAAGAACATTTGATGGTATCTGGAGATATTTTTGGTATGCATAACTAGAGATGCTATAGGCATCTAGTAGGTGAGGCCATGGAAGCTGCTAAGCATTCTGCTGTACACAGGACAGCCCCCAACAGCAGTTTTCTGGCCTCAGA